AATTATGGATCTGTCACCTTCCATTAAAGCGTTTTCTTCCCACTTTCCTCTTATTATTACGTAATTAATGAACACATATATTAGAGAAATGTGGAATTATTATGTTCTGATTGCAGAATCTGATTCTGAGACAAATTAAATGTCCAGGTTTAATGTGAGCGCATAGAAGTCTAGGTGATTGGAGACGTGTAGAGCACACACAAGAATAACCTGAAGTGATCCATTCACAAATCTTCTATGAGAGGAGCTGAGAGAATTTATCTTCGTTTTGCAAACCAATTAGGCATACAAGGCTTTGGTGCTGCTTGCAGAACTGAAGAGGACCCATTCTCTCAAACTTCTCAGTACTCTATGGGTACTGACCTATAAATACCGAAGAGGGTTTATCCTCTTTTGTTTATGTAGTTCATCATCCATAGGTCATGCGAGAAACCCAATCACGAGGGACTCATTGAGGAATGTTGCCATCAATATTGTTTCAACATATTCCATTTCAATGTTGAAACAATGTTGACAAAAATGACATCTACACATTGAATCAATGTGGCACCTCAATGTTGTTTCGAGAAACCCAATCACGAGGGACTCATTGAGGAATGTTGAATGAATGTTGCCATCAATATTGTTTCAACATTCCATTTCAATGTTGACAAAAATTACATCTTCACATTGAATCAATGTGGCACCTCAATGTTGTTTCAACATGATAAATGTTGCCATGAAACATTGTTTCAATGTTGTTTCCACATGGAAGTGTTACCTGGGGACGTCCCGTTACGTTAAAAAAATTCTGGAAAACCGGTCAATAAGGTTCGAGGAAGGTGCAGCTTTCTTCATGCTGTCCATTTTTCGTGTGCGTGAGACAGATCTGCCATCTATTTTTTGAAGGTGCAAGCAAACCATTATAATGGACCTCTATGGCGCCAACTTTTAGTTCAAATAGCATGAAAACGCTCCAAATTTGTAAACATCCACTTGCAAATCCGTAACACTAGCGACCTTCTCCGTGGCATAAACTTGAGATTTTGGAATCGATCTTGCCTTTTTTGAGATACTGAGATCAACTTTCGGGAACCATTTTAAACATTTTCTAGGGGTGGTGGCGGTCTTAGCTAAAGTCTCGACTCAAAGAATGGACAAGCGATACCAGTCAAGATCCACCCCTAACTCAGTCACTTGATCGAGATGGGAAATCGGCTCTTCATTCTCTACCGGCAGTTCTTTCACTTTTTCTCTCCTGTGACCCCTGAAGCAATCTGATGTTCTAATATTACTTTTGAATTTCCATCTCGCACTTAGTTGGAATCTGGCCTCTCATCCCAATTTTTTTTGCCGGTTATCCGTTCCCAGGGCAAGTTCTGACGTGTCGATGGGTGCAAAGTAAGACTAATTGCAATAGTAGCGTCACATGTACAGTAAATGCATCTGGAGCCGCGCATTGTGGAAATGCGACGAGAAGGCAGTAGTCCCCTAGCATTGGCATGGTATACCTCGTATGTCTGTTGCGTTTGACTTTCCATATGTCGAATAGGCTTTTCTTTAAGTCCAACATCCAGCATAGGGGTGTATTTAAAATCCCTTGTCGCATTTAAATTTCTTATTTCCGCATTTGACTTCGGAAACCTATAGACTTCACGCTCATTTAGTCGATTTGCCATTCGGAGATTTCGGTCCCGCAGCCACTGGCATACCGTTCATTCGATATGGCACCAAAATCGACCAACAGTGGCGTTATACCGAAGGTTCACTGCATTTGATCCACAGACGACACCGGGGAAGGTATTGAAATTCCTCAATACAGTTGACGAAAGAAGCAACCCAACCAAATGAGACTCAGGGTAATTCTGAGTCCGAGAATAGAGAGGAGAGGAAAGTTCAAGAGGTGATCCGACTCCATGCAACTCGATAAGAGAGATACTGTACACCCCAGCCTTCGTCCAGCGGGTCTTGCGGTAGGATATATGGATTGGTGTGCCGCCACCTTTTCATGGGCTACTATCACCCTTTTGACCTCTTTCGTCCTCGGACTTAGTTGTCCCTCTCTATTGGCCACATTGAATAAACGACACGATACTAACGTAATGAGATCACGCTGATATAACATCCATAAGGTTGGCCTATTGAGCACTCAACTGGAGTATAGCATGAATTCAACACTTCAGCGATGTAGACACTTCGTCTCATTTCAACATTGTACCAATCTACTGTAGATTCAGCATTCTAGCATTGAATCGATAATGCTCTTCAACATAGATGCAGCATGACGGATATTGACACTTTCATACTTTTGCAACGTTGAGGGAATATCGTTGTGCAGAACTAGACACATTACGTGTAAGATTCACATTTAATTTATTTGTCATTTTGTTAAACATTGTCTCATATGAGGTGCGTGGTGCGAGTCGGCCCATGAGCATCTTCCTATGTTCCCAACCCCAGGCAACAGAGTCGAGCACAGCAGGCGGGATGCCAAGCCTCTCGATGCAAAGCTTCGCTACGTTGTCGCCTCACTTATGAAATGATCGAGATCTGCCGATTAGACTTGTGCCTATCATTCTGAACATAGAGAGCCTCTTTTAGGAAGTCTCTCAAACGTGAAGCAGACACGTCCTAACCACCGCCCAACCACTCGCTCACCTTGAAGGTGGATCTTACGGATCCGGGGGTTCTACATCTTATCAAGAAAGCATCGCACACCCACTCAACCTAACAGCCAAATTTAAACAGCTCGTATCTGCAATCTGGTTGTTTCGCTCATCATACTAAGTTCGTGACCATAGGTGAGAGCGGGAAGATAAACGTTAAAAAAAAATTAGCTTCGCCTCCTTGGAATTTCCGATTTGGTCACCACGTCCAGAGTTCCTAGAAAATCTCAGAAGCCCTGAAGATGCGATAGCCTATCACGTTTCCATATCGTTCGTCGCTCTCGAACCGGAGACATAGATAATTTAAATTTTCCAACTGTTTCAGTTGAGCCCCCTAACATGTAGGGTAAACTGCTCGGGATTTCTCGAGAGGACTATGACTCCAATTTTGGTGACTTTTGGTCTTTCTCCAGCCGCAGTGCGAGCTGAGTCGAACTGATGCAGTGCGCTACGAAGATCCTCTCTAAAGTGGGCCAAAAGGACAGAACCATCGGCAAAAAGAAGTATATCAACCTTGCTGACCATGGGCGCATTCAGTTGTGACCCGAGCAGGACCGGTCTTAGCTATTTCGGCACCCTGTGCAAAAAGACTTCCAACGTCCCCCCCCCCTTCCCTTTTCTCCAAAGGGAGAACGGTCGATCCCTACTGTCCAAAAAAACGCCGAAACGGAAAGCATTCCTAGTCTCTGTAGCAAAATTGAGGACGGCATCCATTATAGCTTCATTCATTCTGACACGTTTTGGCGCCTCTGGTGAATTTGCGCCCTGTGCGGGGGCACATGTGGCACTTACCTAAGGCCGGCCCTGGACCCGAGTCATGACTCGAGGGTCTCAGTTCAACAAATGCAATGAGGTTTCAAAATAAATTCTACTCCATAGTGACACCTCTAGTCAATGTCATCAATCCTGGGTATAATAGTTTTTGAAAAGCGCCGCACCAGCCGAGGATCATGAACCTCATGATCACAACTGAATGCACCCCCTGTCAACACCTTCTAAGCCCGAACTGAGCTTACAAATCCTGTCCATATGCACTCGAAATAGAAAGGAGAGAAAACAAACTTGGCGGAGTCGAGGCTGTAGACTCATCCCACCCTTTCCAGCAAGCTGCTGTAAAAGGACTGATCGGCCCGCAGCAGTTGCCCAATAATCCCATGCTCTAACCCCCTCCCTAGTACTCCTCCCACTGTTTCCCTCGAAGACCACGGCCGCACGCCTTTTCGAAAACCACAAAGCTGTGTCAAATTTCTTAATTGGTTAGTACCAATACGGGCAATCAGTGGCGTACGAGGGGGTGGGGGGCTGAAACCCTCCCAAGTACCTTCTAGCCCCCCAACTCTGCTCTAAGAGTCTGCAAACCCCCCCCCCCCCTCCTTTGGCGATACCCTGGCTACACCACTGCGGGCAATTCGGAGAACTAATTTCAAAAGTGATCAGTCCCCCCAGTCCCCATCTATTGGCCCAATTCTGGTTCAACATTGAGCCAATATTGCATTATTTGCCCATCATTGGGCCAATATTGGTCCAATTGAATAATTGACCTAAGGGGGTCAGAAGAGCTTCTCGGTTGTCATGCAGGCTTGAACACCAGTTGCGTCGGAATCTTGTTGAAGGAGATCCAGAATCGGACGTAAATCAGGAAAAAGCCAAACGTTCGCAGCAACAATAAATCCCTATCCATTTCATACCAAAAACCACTTTTTTTGCAATCTAGTCACCATAAAAAAATCAATTCTTATCACCACTTCCCTAAGATATATTAATTCAGAACAATGAAAGAGCATTGCTGGTTCCGTGAAGAGGACAGAATTTCAAAGATGCATACTTCCCCTGGTTCTCGAAAATTAGCTGGAGAAACTGACACATCCAAGGTCCCCAGTGCTGCATCCTTCACGAAAGCAGCACGACTCCTCTTTTTAACCATTATTCTGCCGAATTAAAATTTTATAGGGAAAGAGGTTAGAAGGATTTCTTTTTCTCCAAATAATCCATTAACAATGCTGATGGCACCAATACTCATTTGCGCTTCGACTGAGAGCAGCAACACTGTACTGAGACGAACTCACAACCTGATATGTTGTAGCTCCAAGACAGCTCCAAGTACGAACAATATCGACTGGAGCCACACCATCGCAAAGTCATAACTAGAACAGGAAAATTTCGGCCTATGTTATCTGTTTGCGAGAGTGTTGATGCTATGCCTTCGCCTTTGGAGGAACTCATCACCCGTTTACATGAGTTATCAGCTGTAAAGTTTGGAAAGTTCACTCTGAAGAGTGGCATAGAGTCACCTGTCTATCTAGATCTTCGAGTCATCATTTCCTATCCTAAACTTCTCGTAAGTTCTTATTTAATCGATTTCTTCGTTATTGCAATTCACGATTGATTGCTAAATTTTGCTCCAGTATTTTCTTTTTAAGAATGACATGAATGAATTTCATGAGGTTATTTTTTCCCCTTGTGGTTTAAACAGGCCATAGTTGCTGAGACTATGTGGTGCCAAGGACAAGGGAAGATTCCATGCGATGTCATTTGTGGAGTTCCTTATGCAGCATTGCCCTTAGCCACAGTGATTTCTGTCAACAAAAATATTCCCATGCTCATCATAAGGAAGGAAAGCAAGGTTAGATTTGCTTATGCTAGACCTTAGCTTAGGCCCCAGAAGCCAAACCCTGTTGCATCAAACATTGATTGTACAGTACTGTATGGAAAATTTACCATATGTCATACATCGTTGGTTTATCAGTAAGGTGATTAGGCATAGATAGTAGGCTATAGTTTGTCATATACAACCCCCTTCCTTGCTCCTCAATAAGCCCTGATCTCTGATCCTTGTGTGTAGTATGACAATTTATTTCACATGGTCTAGGTACAAGGCTGCCATTTATAATTTCATTGTGTAGGGCCATGGAACAAAAAAACAAATTGAGGGAAACCTGGTTCAGGGTCAGACCTGTGCTGTTATTGAGGATGTCATCAGCAGTGGGTCCTCTATTCTGGAGACTGCCCTTGTAAGTGGAATCTTTGTGTGAAGAAAAAATTGTGTTAATCAAAATGTGATTTTTTTTCCATTAGACCTCTACTCATTTCTAATCATCCAGGCTTGTTTTGTTTTGAAAGTTCAGTAAGTTATGGGCTCTATTTTCATTCATCTCTACTTCCCATGAATAGGAAAGACCAGTTTGGTCCTGTCCATAGTAAATGAAGAATTCCATGAAAATATAAATTAATTTATAAGTTCATTCTCATTGCTGATTAATATTCCTCATTTTGGCAAGGACTGGTTTAATACTATATTATTACATCTTTCCAGAAAAAAAAACAGTCAAGAGGCAGTGAGTAGAATTGACCCTTCCATCTTTCCATTATCACCATGTTAAGATTAACTGCTAGAATCCATTTATACACTGTTTCCAGATTGAAGTAGTACACCCTATAGGAGTGCTTTCATCATTTGCAGGTAGTGACATCTAACACATGGGTGGTTATGCCTATCACCTGATGAAATGGAACATCTGGAAATTTGTGTTTTCTCCATTCTCCACTATATGTGGTGGTACGAATCCAATTTGGAAACAGTGTATTCTAAAGAGAGCTTTCCAAAGCAGTGGTGCAACCAGCCCTAAAGTTTGGGGGGGGGGGGGGGTCAGGAAAGTTCTTATGACCTGTCTTTCAAATGTCTCCGAATGCAAGAAAGCATTATCAAGGAATCAGAAGAGGTATATTCACAACAAAAATGTGAAATGACATTGGACATGTGAACTTAAAGAATGTAACCTAAGAAAAATTGTATGAAATGGTGAAAACAGAATTTAAACATTAAATAATAAAAGCACATTCTATATCTGAAAAAAGCTAAAGATGTACTAAATTAATTTTGGGGTTCAGCCCAGATTTCACTGCATATACATGAAACTGGAAATTCATTAACCTGTACATGATTTTGATTCATGGTTTTCATCTGAGTCATCATCCTCCCATTTTCAGAAAAAATTCAGCAGCATTACATGTACTAGACACTTCCTTGGCATTTTCACTTTACTACAGCAAGAAGCCAAATGTAACTGGCATGACCTTCACCTTCACCTCCCATCTTTGTCCCCTTCTTGCTCTCAGGTTGTTTGCTCGTGATAATATCTTTCTGAATCTCCCACCCTTGGAGGAGAGGGGGATGGACAGAGAGATACTTTCATGAGCAGGGGTTTGGGGGGGGGGGGATTCAGACCCCCTGAAACCCCTCCTCCCCTTGATTGTGTCACTATTCCAACAATATGAACTTGGCCGTGATTCTGGCACAGAATTTCATATATTGAAAGGGAAATGAAAGGTGTTATCGATTGACAATGATCAATACTTCTTTCAGTTTTTTAAACTGAATGAGCAAAATGGAAAGTTGTATTAACAGTAAATATTCCATTTCCCATTCATGAAAAATTAGCCTCATCAAGAAAAAGTGAATGCCATGCAAAAATGCTTGAAATGTTAATATTTTATATGCATAACCAGGCTTGCAATATATTGCAAATATGTTATCTTGCCAAAAGTTTAGGCCCTCATAAAAACTATAGAGGGTGGCCACAAAGTCCCTTTGCATGGCAAATAAAGATAATGTACCTCTTTTCAAACAGCTCTGTGTGTTGCCCTCCATTCTCAGCACACAGCTGGATTCATGCCCAAGTTCTTGATATTCTCCAAAGTGGAAGGCTGCATACAGTTATAAGCAGTTCAGGACAGCTGTTTGGGGTTTCTAAATATTTGTCAGTCATTTGCCATGCATGTTGTTTCGAGGTCCTGCTCTCACAATTGTGAAATCTTGCAAAGGAAAACAAACCACGTTTGCAACATGTTGATATATGCCATGTGATTAACAGTTCCTTTGAAAAAATATGGACCAATCAAGTGATTTGTGGAAATGGCTACCCATGGGACATGGGGTGGGTGCTGCTCAATTTCCTTGGAATAGTGGGGGTTTTCTTTGCACAAAAAATAAACATTTCTGGTCTAATTGCTCAGGTAAATTGCACACCCATCTAAGAAGAAGAAATTTTGATGTGCCTGATGAGTGGGGCCAATGTTGTAACAGTGCCTTACAGGCAGCTTCACGTGCATGTAAGTCTCTCTCACGTAGCTGATTGACATGTCCAAAAAAAATTAACATTAATATTTCATGCAAAGGGACTTTGTGGCCACCCTGTACACTGCCATGGCCTCACTTGTTAATATGGTGCTGGCCCCTCCATGTCATCAGTGGCAACTTGAACCTGGTTCAGCAGTTTTTTGCTGAGCTGAAATTCTGTGTAGCGTTTTCAAGAATGATACTTTGAGATGCTCTCATAATTTATTGCTTGAATGCATTACCCTAAATCCTGTTTTATCCTTTTATTGGAGGCTTTGAGAGCTGAGGGACTGATCGTCAACGATGCAATTGTTCTTCTTGACCGAGGCCATGGAGGAACAGAAAATTTGGCTGCAGAGGGAATAACACTTCATAGTGTCTGTACTTTACATCAGGTAATTTTTTAAAAATCTTCTAGGATGAATACATGTCATTCTCCTACAACTATCATCATATGACTGCAATGATACAACCATGGGTTTGTGTTTTTAATTAGCTTAGTTATGATCATTTTCATGGCTCTAGCTTAGTCAAGCAGGCAGAAGCTAATAGTTTTGCCTATCAGTACCAATATTTTGGTTTTATTCGTAGCTTATAACCCTCCACAGAAATTAGGAATGGACAGGTGAGGACCTAAGTAGGACTAACTTGGAATTCTAAAATGACACAGAAAGAATGAATGCCTCTTGACCTCTCATCAAACAGTTTTGGCATTCCTTGAGTCACCCCAAAAATAATACTCCCCCCAGGATGGTATTGAGTCTGTGTCTATGTCCATTTGCTGAAGAGAAGGAACCAAGGCTATGAGAGCAAATAAAGAGCATTTCTTCTGCACAGGAGGAGAGATGTTGTCAGGGCATTTTGAATTATTCACACAGAGATCATGAAGCAGTTTCCTCACCCCTTCTTCAAAAACCAAAAGGTCTATCAAGTGGACACTTGTCTTAGGATGACAACAGAGTAGAAAAAGCTGAGTGAACTGTGGATCAGTTTGGATTTCTACTGGCAATCATTGGATGCTATGGAAATATATTCTCTGTTCCTGACAAGTATAACAAGTGTAGTCTGCTGTGAACTTCTTTTCTCCAAATTTCAGGTGATTATTTGAGAAAAAAAAATGTTGTGTACCTGAATGGGCCATATTTTTTCATGTCTGCTTTGTGCATGTAATACAAAATGCCATTTCTGGAATGATTCTTGGTAAATCTGTGCAGGTGATCATCTTTGCACCTGTATGTTATTACCTAGTTCCTTTCAGAATTGTTTTGGTTGAAGGTAAGGAAATTATGTGCATGAGGGTAATTTTACATATAGTGCTCTCTGTTAAAGTACGATAATTCTATTTCAGTACTTATTAATCTTAAAATTAAAAGCACAAATTTTTATTGTATGTGGTAGTGAGGCCAAAGGTATTCAAGATATAAGAGGAATACTCATTCTTCATTAGATATACATAATTGCAATTTTTTTTCCTTCCAGGTTTTGGAGATTCTGGCCAGAAAGCACCTGATAACCAATGAAATCTTTGATCAGTCCATGACATTCCTCTCATCTCAGCAGATGATTTCTTTCGTCAATGGTGACTTACTGTGTATATACTTCTTGTAGCTGTGACTATGTTGTCAATGAAGTTTTGATTTCTCTCCTAGAAAGACTTCAGCAGACATATGGAGAGCGGAAGAGAGTTTGTCATCACCCATTGTCAAAGCGACTCCTCTCAGTGATGGAAAAAAAGAAAACCAATCTATGTCTTAGTGCTGATGTGTTCATGTGTGAAGAGCTGATGCCCTTGGTTCGTGACCTTGGTCCACTCCTTTGCATGGTCAAGGTCCATGCTGACACCTTGAAGGATTTCTCCTTGGAATCGATGAATGAGCTTGCTGCCTTAGCTCATGAACATGATCTACTCATTTTTGAGGATAGGTATGGTGGTTCTCTATTCGTGACTGGGAAACAGTAGGCATCTTTACTAAGCTAGCACTGAGGTCCATGCATGAATGAGGACCCATTTTCCTTGCATTTTTTAAATGGCTAGATGTTGAAAATTATATTTTTTTTTTTAAGCAGACTACTCATGAGTATCCTGTTGGCACCTGGAAAAGGTAAAAAAAATACTCAAATGCCAAAGGTCTAGGATTAGGAACCAGAGTTGCAATTATTGTAAGAGTTACTTGAAGGAGTGAATGAAGGGGCCTCACAGTGGCATTCAGCCTTAAGCTTTGTCAAAGTTTGTTAGAGTAACCATCAGATGCCTACTTCTTGGTTATAATGAATTGGCCACAACTCCTAGCCCTTTACTTTAGAGGTTCAAAATCAGCATTGTGAATGTAACACACCAGTGTGTCATGTGGTGGTCAATGTGTTCAATAACTATAGGATGGAATTTATAATTCAAAGGAGCTGACCTTGTGCATCAAGGATATTTACCTGTATAAGGGTAGATGAAAATATTGCATACCCTTTCTTCTTTTACCATCACTGTGAAGCCTTATGGGAGCCAAAAAGTAAGAGGGCTTTGCAATTGGTCTATCAAAATATAAATGTGGTGTCGTGCTTTCAGGACTTTTGCCAAATGAAACCTCCCTTCATGCTCTTCTGATAGATGTATGACTCATGCTGTTACTTTGAAATATTGAGTTTGTGGGATTTTTACACTTTAGAATCTGCCTTTTTTTTTCTCTTGAAATAATTCACCATAACTCAATTAGGAGTCTTGTCTCTTCTTAAAACAGAAGCTTTTGTGCAGTATCACTTAGCAAGTAATTCAATGGATGCATATAGGAATCAGATTTTTTTTTGCTCAATTTCTAGCAGATATAAGAATGTATCCTAAAAACGTTAGTCATAGTCAGGTATGAGCCTTGCCTAGAAGATGGCACGTAAATGGCTTGGTTGCTTGTTTCTGTGGCAAGAGATATGGATTCAAAACTAAGATGGGCATTTATATCTGAATGTAAGCTCCAATGTGCTTGGGAAGGGAGATCCCCAAACTCAAGGCTCTCTCATGTCGGTAGATGACGAATGCTCAAGAGCGCCAGTGGGAAAGGCCAAACCTAGGTAGCCTATACCTGGATCAACCACTTGGGCCATATTGTGGTTAGAGGTTACAAGGGAAAATGCATTGTGACTTGATCTAAATTTGGTAGTCATTGCGTCATGCAGAAAGACTCTAGACTGGAATAGAGCTTAATGACTACTGCTCTCCTTGAAAATTGGATTTCTCTTGTGAAAGCGAGCCTTTGCTCTTTGGCCTTTTGTGAGAGGCAATCCTATTCATTTGATAGGGCAATGTCGCAGCTATATGAAGATGTTGATCTTGGAAGAAAAGGGTTTGGGGGTGAGAGCCGTTTCATTATAACAGAAATTAGTTGTGGCTCTTGGAACAAGCTTGGGTGAAAATTTAGGCTGGGCATCACTATGTAGCTCCTCCCTCCATTGCTCTAGGGACCCCCTATAATGATTGCATCTCAGGTTCCTAATTTCATACCCTTGATTTTTGTGTCCCTTCACACATTAAGCTCACTCCCATGCGCAGATGTACATATAGTAGAAATGAAGAAGTGGATGTTCCAGAAATATACGGGACAGTAGTCAGCTCCTCGCCTTTGCTAAACTTAAGTATTAACTAAATCTAAATCCAAGTTTTACTCTAAACTTGATCTAAAGCTAAGCATAATCTAAACTTCATCTGATAAAATTATTTAAAAAACCAACCTATGGAATCTGTTGTTTCTCGCCTCTGTGGCGAATTAACGCACGCATACATTGGGTAGGGAGAGGGAGTCGGTGGGAATTATCATCAGAATGGGAGGATGAGCTGCTCTGCAACCGAAAGGGCCCCATCCCCCTTTCAGGGATTTCATACCCCTTCTTGAAACTTTGCTCTTCTACTCCCTCCTCCTTGGGGAGTTGGGAAGAAGTGGACACAGAACATAATTTTCCCAGAGTCCCCCAATATCGTTAAATTGTTCCTTCCTCGCCTATATTAAGTCTAAATCTAAATTAAGTCTGAAGGCTCATTCACATCAACTGCATCATGGCCACCGTTAAAAATGTCAGCTGATTATTGGGTTTTATTCATTTGTGTGGATTCATGATGAGAAATGCATGATTGAAAACTTGATAACTGGCGCCGGGGAAACTGCCGATACATTCCCCACTTCCCGAACATCGTGACATGGGAGGGCCAGAGACGAAGTTTCAACTGCACATTCCTACTCTCCTTTGCCAGTGAAAATGAGGTAAATCCCCGTCTTCTCCGTAAGTTGAAACAGAGCTGTGACTAGTTTCCACTGGAACCCAGAAGCATAAGCGAAAAGATACCATAAGGCAGTGGATTGAAGTGAAAACCATTTCGAATCTTCATCACGGCTCATATTACTTGAATATTCTCTGCTGTTTGTGTGCGCTGATTTTTGACTCAGATGTTGTATCGAAGAAACATTAATGAGAGTTCTTCCTCTTCATCCCAACATTTAGACCACATTTAGACTGGGTCAGACCAGTCTAAAAATATTTCCCCTTTTAGATGAAGTTGCAGCACGAGTTTGAGCGAGGAACTGGCTCTTTGGTTTTTTTTTTTTTTTTAATACTGCTCTTAGATTGGATTAAGTTCATATTTAGATAAAGTTTAGCATAGACGAGAAACTGACCTTGACTACTCTTTACAATATGTTCAGGACAAATTTAGATTATGTTTAGAATGAGTTTAGCAGAGGCGAGGAACAGGCCTCAGGTTGTCTCATTTCTTACAACTTATTCTTCCCAATATTTATTTTCAGCTTCACGAATGAAGTCACATGAACAAAATGGTAGAATACTGTTTCTCATCGTTATTTGCAAGCGTGACAGAATGCTAGGCACTAGTGGCAAAATGCTTCGCTCCTCTTAAAAATTGATTCTTACGCGTTGCATAATCTTTCGCATCCTTCCAGCGATGAGATGACGGGGGAACATTATGCAATGCATACGGATTATTTTGAAATACGAATGATTTTGCCGTTAGTGCACAGCAATTTTCAGCTGGTACGAAGGTCAATGAGAAGCACTGTAATTTATCAGTGTGAGGCATGAGAACTTAAAAGTGTTGCCGTCCTCTTATTTTCACATTTTCTGATGTTGGCCTTTCCTTTCTTTGACATTTCAGGAAGTTCAGTGATATAGGGAGTACAGTAAAGGAGCAGTACTCTGGAGGTTTGATGAACATACGAACATGGGCAGATGTGGTAACCATCCATCCCATTCCGGGACCTGCCATCATTGAAGCATTGAAAACAAAAGCTGCAGAAATTGGCTCAGATTGCAGAGGGGCCATTCTTGTTGCCCAAATGTCTTCTGCGGGAAACTTCATATCATCGTCTTATACAACACGTAAGAAACGTCTGTGTGCTCTTTGGGTTCTTCCCGACTTCATCATAAGTTATGTGATGGCAAACATTGTGATTTTTCATTCAAGTTTTTACTGCTCTACGGGGTGTCCAGAAAATACCTCGTAAACGACTTTTTATTTACTTGTTGCAGCGATGGGTTTCAGGTCAGCTGGGTGGATTCAAAAGTTGGCAACAATGGCAGAGCAAAGTAGTGGATCATTTTGACTTACTAAAGAATAAAGAATTCGTGTTTTACAGATGATATACAAATATGAGAATGTGTCAGACTTTCAGCGTCAGTGTGAGACTCGCTGGGATGAACGTCCTCCACGCCCCGAAACAATCAAGGCACTGAAGAAGAATTGATGAATTAAAACAAAAACACTTAATTCTAATAAAATAGTGACTGCTAATTAGTTGGCAGTGTTTGCATCTTATTAACAATATTTAGAATTATTTCATCTACTCACACGACTCAAATATTTGTCCTCCAATGTTTACGAGATATTTTCTGGACACTCTGTATATTAAGAAACTGGCGTACGGGGAGAGGGGGGGAGAAGAGGCTCAGGAATTAGGGATGGAATGGTCATTTGTCTAGTTAAGTTACTATTATAGACCAATGGTGTTTTAACACACTAACACTAGCCCGAAGTAAAAATCTAATTTCTTCTTTGAATCCTCATCCTCTCCTCCTCAGCCTCAGTAATATCAATTTCGTCATGAAATGCTCAAAAATATTATAACCAGGAAGTCTTATTTTTCAAAAAATGATTTGAAAATTTTTCTAGTCCTGAGGGTATACCGGATGTTGATACTTTTAGTACATGTTCTCAGTCCATGAACAACTAAAGAATACGACTTTCTGTCACCAAGTCACGTACATGTCACAAAGGTCTAACTACCACGCGCATGTCGGGGTAATATGCGCTCTAAAACGAAATACCAAACGAGAGAAGCAAGAGAAAAACGTTATACCCGAAAGGATTCTTTTGTGGGAGGATTTAAGCATAATGTACTGGGCCAATGTCATGCGCATGGAACCATTAGGTCTTGTCACTCTGGACATGCACGATGTTCAAATGTGGCATCCCAAGACATTAGGTTTGCCTGAGTCTACGTTTGTGGACGAACAAGTCTATGAGCTATACAGTCGACGCTCGATATAACGAACTCGAAGGGACAAGCTACAACATTTTGTTATAAGGAAATTCATTATAGGGAATTCCCCACATTCCGCTGAGGAAAAAATTGTCCTCCTAAACGAAATGTTATTTATTCCATAAAGACCGGGGCTCTGGCTTCTGGGTGAAACCCGGGAGGCGAGGGATCGAGTCCGAGTGGCGGTGGGCTCTTCCTCCGCCGACAGGCAACCCACCTGCTTTCATGGGGAGTGTCTGCTTAGCGTGGGATAACACACGTCACTCAGTGTGCCTAGGAGATACGGGTGCAGTACACCTTAAAAGTCACTCATGCCAGTTATGGGCTTAGGCAACCCGTGAGTTGTCCCTTTGGCTTCCTACAGGACCGTTTAAGGGTGTCCCAGCCTGAGGGACTGTTATATGGATGTGGTGCCCTTGCCAAGCGGGCACCCCCTTCCTCTCTGTGTACTGTAATAGGTCCGTTGTCGTTTGTGTCCGCCGCATGTCCTATCTTGAAAAAATGAAATAAAATAAATAAAATAATAATAAATAAATGTATTCCCATAAAGTATGCAGTTATCCGATCCTGATAAAATGCGGTCTGATCGCGTGTCTTATTGTAAAAATTGCAACTTCCAATAGGTGTGTAGGTACTTAAATGGGCATGCGCAGCAGTTTGTCCTAATGTAGGTGCAATAAAAATCGGACGAGTCACCTTTAGCCTTTGACTCAAAAATAGTCAAAGATAGTCGAAGGCTGTGATTGCTTGACCGATCAGAATTCTGGACTCGACCTTACTCTCATCCTTAAGATCCAGAGAATACTATTGACTGACAGAACTCCTTTACCCCCCACGGCCAATCCAATAAGTGGGTGGAACGTGCTAAAAAAAAAAAAAAGATGTGAGATGAGATTTTCCAGGAATACACGAAAGAAAATAGCTTGTTTGCCTTACATGTGCTGCAGATATAAAATTCGTTATGCAGAACTTCATTAAAGAGGAACTTTTCAACGTTCATTTTAGTGGGCAAACGGCCGGGAACTGGAAAAAAATTCGTAAAAAAAGAAAATTCGTTGTATATATTCAACGAATTTTCTTTTTTTACGAATTTTTTTTTGCAGCGTCGACTGTAGTAGTAACATGATGAGGTGCTTGCGGTTGCTCCAGAGGTAACTGTGTTCTATAAGTGCATTCCAGTCCTTTTACAACTTTAAAAGTCTTTATGTGCATATGAAATTAAATAATTACAGAGACCCTCACCTATGGTCACTAAATGATATCATTTTGGAAGGAAACAGGAAGAAGACAATGAAGCGTGTCATCATGTCTGATCTCATTCTGATAGTTGTAATGTCTGCAAATATGGATATGATGTTCTAGCGAAAGTTTTGTAGAATAGGGCCTGTAGAATTAATTTTTTTTTATTGTCCACAAGTGTGGACACGGTGTCACGGTGAAAGAGTTAAGTGGAGTCACGAAAGAAATGGGAAAAATCCCATCAAGAGTGATGAGACATTGCACAATAAAACTATTCTCCTTACAAAGACATGACATTTAAACTTGAACGGTGATTTTAGGTTCTCAAACAAGAAGAATAGTGCGAAAGTAATATCTCCATGCCAGAAACCACAAGGTTCTTTTACTTTCCGGACGACGGGACGGCATAGTCGCCCCCCCTTTTTTCCCCACCGGACGACGGTATGCTCTGCAAGCTTCGCGTTTGTCCGTTTTTGTTTGGTCGTAAGCCAGGTTCTTTAATTTATCTTGCCGCTGCAATCTGCTACGTCTGCAAAAGTGTCGTCTACTACGACTTATACTTGTACGACTTGACTACGCCCAGAAACCGTTGTCCGGAAAATGTTAAGCATTTATTCTTGGAGAGATTTCCCCCCTATTTCCTATATTATTCCAGTTGCCATTCACTAGAGAGGGACGTCTGGGTTCAGATTTCGCAGGCCCCGTTGGTATGGACAGAAGTCATCAATGAAAGGGCAAACGTCACTCGGATAGCTCGTAATCAGTGAAAGGAACATGTAACCCTATGCAATATAATTTTCCCTGTCACTCTGATTTCGGGAAAGGGGATGATATGAGATAAGACGGGGTTCGGGTTTACTTATTTTTGTTCGCAGGGTATTCGAGGAAATGAGACCGGAAACTTTTTTTTTCCCAGGAACGCGCCTTCGAGAGAGGAAAAACCCATCATATTCTCTCAGAGCTTTCATACTCCACCTCCTCTTATCATTGGAAATCCAAATTAATCAAGCGAGAATGGCTCGGAATACTCGGGAAAAGTCCCAATCAACGAGAACTAAGAATAAAGGCATTCGGATGAAGATGGAAGTTTTTGAGAGCTCTATGAGGCTTCCACCAGAGCAAATTGCTTTTCCCGTATTAACATTTTGGGGTCCATGCAAGAGTTACCTCGTGTTGACCTCATGAAAAACTTGGATGATATTGCTGACATTCAAAATAGGGCAAGCACCCCGGTTTCTGGCCGGTCTCCAGTTGTTGGCCAGTGAGGCTTAAATCCAGCATAATTAATCTGGCCGTTTTCAAGCATTCTGTCAACATCTTCCCGTACGAGGACCTATTACTAGTGTTTCCCGGTGTGCGCACAGGGTGTCCACTTCCCATGGGAGTCGTACCAGCGTGGCCAAAAACTGGGGTATTTACCCTACTTGGACCCCAAAAGGTTAAGGAGAGTGCCCAGATGATTGACGTCTGCATAAGCTAGAGTTGGAACAGAGAATGTAACATAATGTGATTTCATCGTCGGGAAAGGGCAAGGCTTAATTTAAAAATCTGTTGAGAGGGTTCCCTCAGCCCTGTGCAGTACAGAAAATCATGTCCCTCAGCTCTCAATGACGTAAAAAACTATTCATTTAAATTATATGAACTTGAAATAAATTTTGTAAATAGTAAAAAACGCTACCAATCTCAAAATAAATATCCAGTTTCTAAGCACATTCCTCTGCTGCACGCTATCCATGACCAAAGGCAGTCTGCCTTTTTTTTATCATTGTCTTTTTCTTTTTCATAGTTAGGAATGTTAAGAGGGAACTTGTATATCTTATTAAGACCCTCTCTACCACTCAGTGCCTTATTGATGGCCATGGTAGAATTCCCATGGCCAAGAAATTATGATACCCATTTGGCATCCAAATAATAAAAAATTTCATGACAAAACTACTTTAAAAAATGTACTGGTGATAAAGGGTATCTCTTACATCCGTTACACATGCGATGCGCCTGACTATTCTAAGGAGACTGCCAGTTTTCTGAGTGAATCAAATCAGCTGAGAATTTTTGAAGAACCTTTGCATGGGAGTGTTAGGGGGGTACAAATAAAGTTTCCACGTGTAAAATGGAAAAAAGTTGTATTTTATCACTGAAATAACAAGTATGCATTATTACCATCATAGCCTAAGATAAAAGGACTCATGGTATTCCAATACGTATTGGCCAGAACTCAATCGATGTGCAAGTTGCTTGAGTAACCAAGTTTTGTAAAAGGTAAATTTGTCAACAACAAAAAAATAAGCTTTTGCTGCACCCAGAAATGGCAGTAGTATTTGATGCAGCTGTGCTCATCTTCCACTTGAAAGTGAAAACTCATGTCTAATCATGTATATGGCGTTGAGTTTTCTGGTATTTCGGGGGGATTTGGTATTCCCCTCGTGGAGTGCAAATTTTCGATAAACTCGCAGGTTTTGTGAAATCGTCTCAATGTCGCATGAATTTTAGTGTACGAGAGTGTAGGTTTGTGTACCTCATGTATATTTCCTTCATGGACATATAACTCTGGTCTAGCTCATCAGTGTGGTAAAAGATATTCAAAAGACTTGAACTCAAAATGTTTTTGCTCATCTATGAATTTATTAGTGACTTATGATTGACAATTTTATCATAACATTTCTTGCTTGTGTCTTTTTTGGGTTGCTCATAAAAAAATACGTTCATGTTACTTTTTATGTTTGGTATTGATTACCTGATTGGTCAATTGTTCTCATACAATGAGTAAATATTCATTCGTTGTTTTACGACAGTTCTAACAACTTTTACGGTGTAGCATTTCTGTGTGTGTACCGTTCCAGCGGAGTTAGTGTCTTGGAGAGCACATTATGTTTGGCGTCAAGCTTATGAAACTATTGAGGGAACTGTTTAGTAGTTATTTGTTCCTAAATTATAACTGATTTCTTTGTTGTTTGTGACCTAAATAGACCCTAGCCAATTCCAGTACTTGACCAGGCCTGTAAGATGAGTTGTGGTTCTGTCATCTAAAATGAGTGTCACATAGAGAGGATATGTAACTAAAAGCAAGAGCATTCGGCCGAAATTTACCATAAGTGACCATATTGACCAGTCAAGTTTCCGATTTTATATGTATTGGCCATTTACCCATCCTTACTCGGGACTGGAGCCTTCTCCCTCCCACTCGCCGCTAGTTCACTTTGTTGTTTCCTTCCTTGCTCGATATTCAACTGCCTTAATACCGACCCCCTCCACCCCCCTTTCTAAAACACTACGTACGGCACTGTAAGCAAGACATTGTAGGTAATGTGCATCAGTACTTGAATGCAGTATCAAGATTGCATATGGATTGAAAATGCTTTTCTTGATCGCTAGGAGCTATGGAGTTGGTGGAAGAGCATAGTGACTACGTCATGGGCTACATAGGGACGTCCTCATTGACAGGAAATCCCTCATTGCTTCAGTTCACCCCTGGCGTGAGTCTGGGGGATTCCGGAGATGGATTAGGGCAGGTGTACATGTCTCCGAGAGAAGCCGTCTTAGAGAAAGGAGCAGATGTGATCATAGTTGGGAGAGGGATCTTGAAGGCCCCTGACAGGAAGGCAGCTTGTCAACAGTACCGTGATGCTGGGTTCCAGGCCTACCTCGAGAGGTGCAGTCACGGCTAGCCCTTCAAAGAAAGGCTACTATCCCTCAGAATGCATCAGGACAATCGTCTGTATGCCTTTATGCCTTGGCACATCCACTTTCCTATCGTTCTTATATTTTTCTCAGATCCCTTTTTTTTTGCTGAGTTCATTTATGTATTGCGAAATAAAGTAACTTGAGCATAATTATTTTGTTCTTTTTGATGTCCATTCACATCGTGTTTAAATTCTACCATTGGATACTCCAAGACGCTACGAAGCAGTTGTGGTTAAATCATTATAGACGGATGGTTTCAGGACTGAACTTACCTTATTCGCAGGTGAGATATTTTTGTTCCAATGACCTGCCACCATTGGTCGTCTTATTGTCGTGAAATTCAGTGATAGGAGGAAGTTGAGGCGAATATGTCAATTAGAAGAGAATGAACTTTCCCTGCCGGTGCTAGAATAATGTAGCCCAGAGGTTCTCAACTTTGTGGGCCCTGGCACCCAGGGCTGCCGGGAGAGGCTGACAAGGGTGCCGTGGGCGTTAGGAACTTTTTTGCCTATCGATAAAGTAAGGCAAGACCAGGAGGCTACAATACTACTTAGTCGGTGTAATTGAGGAGTGCTTTATGGAGTGGGCTGCAAGCCTCTTCTCGAGTACCGCTTCCGAAGTTCCACGCTTCTGTGTTCGGCCTAGTCTCTTGATAGAAGTGTATCTAGGAAGAGTACCAAGATCAATATGTGTTGCGATGATGATCCAGATGAAAATTGTCATCTCATCTGTATGCATGTCACCAACACTTATTCTTGATATAAATTTATAAACAACACAAGTTCAGGTCCTGTCTAAGCATCACCAACGACCTGCGTGGGGTCACTTCAATATTGGGTCGTATCTTGGCCTGTGGAACCAGAGACAGGCACATATTGATGTGAAATAATAAAAAATGAAGAGTTCGAATTACTTAACTCGAAATGATCCTCTTGATGAGTGTTAGTTCAAAATAAACTTTTCATTAACGAATGCAGAAGTCCTAGTCTTCCTAATTTCTAGTAACCCCGATAGGGTGGTAGACTGTTTGCCGAACGACTACTATTCGAACATCGATTTTCCTTTAGTGCCTCTTCACCGAATGAAAATTCGCTTATGCGTTTCATCGGACGTGCGTTCACCGAGCGTAAAATTAATCGAAAAGGTCGACTTTATTTTAAATTATACCGTTCAATTTTTAAAATCCAGGAACTTGTATGCACGGCAGAGGAGTGTCAAAAATGAATGTTGTGGGAGACTGCCTTCAAGAAGTCTAGCGTGGTTCTCGCATCATATTCCTCCGTGATTCTCTTCAGTCGTTTGTTGTTTTCTTCAAGTCTCTGACGTTTCCTCGGTAGAGCCCCAACTGCGAGCTGATCTATTTCCTTCACTGTTCCGGTATGTTCCTTTCGAATCAAGCAAGCTTCGACAGAATTGACGGTCCGAGCTTCGTCTGCCAGGACAAGATTGCGAACATTCCACAGAGCTGGAGGAAATGAAATAAGACTTGTCCTCTAGGTCTCCCTCTTGGGTGTCTACCATCGATGTAAGTTTCATAGTGGAAATTTATTTGTGTTTCGGTTAATTTGGAGAACATTCGGTGACCTGTCCAATCGGTGAATCAGTGGTTTCGATGAAAGGTCGTTCGGGGAATCAGTCATAGGTCAATAGACCCTTCGACCAGAATCATTCGAAGTAATAGATTTCGGAGAATAGTTATAGACCCAGACCGATATACCTGGAGTGCATAGAGCTTCATGAATGTGCATGAGTACAGGGTGTATGATAAGTAACTCCCTATTTTGAAATGCTTATAACTCTTTTAGTTTTAATGAAACAAACTGTGAGTTATGCAACAGTTTATGGGGGTTTTATTTGTCCACACTTCCACGTGTGCTCCTTCATTCAACACATTTCCTTAAGCGAACAGGTATGTGTCCCACTGTTGATCGTAACACGTGTCGAGGAATGCTGTTAAGAACATTGTTGATTTTTTCTTCCAGTTAATTAAGCAGCAAAATTTGTTTTCGGAAAGTTTCATGTATCTAGGTTGCCGGAATAAAAATTGACAGTTGTTCAAAGTGGAGTCAGTTCGCAGCCCTAACTTACACCTTGCGACACCTTACGACTTCTTTCTGTGGGGCTGGGCTAAAGAGGGAGTTTATCGTACCAAACGCAGAAATTTTGTTGAATTGGAAGAAAGAATCAACAATGTTCTTAACAACTTACCTCGACACATGTTACGATCAATAGTGGGAAACATACCTGTTCGCTTAAGGAAATGTGTTGACAATGAAGATGCACACGTGGAAGTGTGCAGTGTGGACGAATAAAAACCCCATGAGCTGTTGCATAATTCAAAGTTTGTTTCATTAAATTTCGTTAAAAAATAAAAGATTTATAAGCATTTAAAAATAGGGAGTTACTTATCACACACCCTGTACTTCGATATCTCGCAGCTCCAAAAGTGTGCCGTTGCTTTGAAAACGTTGAGAACCGCTGACTTAACGCAATTGTACCTCCCGGATAAAATGCTGCGCAACTAAGGCGTTCTGGATGGGGAAAGAGGGGCAACTCATCATGTTCTGTCTACCTTGGGATTAAAATTGAATGAAGTTAATGGGATTCTGGGGACGGGAACCAGTCTACTGTGCATTCATAACTGTGAGTGATTTGCCATTGACGAACGTGAGTGCTCATCAACGAGGTACCTATTTGCTCCATTGATTGACTTTGCCTCATATTGGGAGGCTTTGCGTCCTTGATGGACTGGAGAAACTGAAGAGAAGCCTTTGTATCGTCGAGAGACATGCATAATTCATGATCTCGATTTGCCTAGAGGAAGAACATGGCGCCTTGATGGAGGAAAAACCATCTGAGCTTCTAATTAGCCGTTATCCGATCTCCTCGTAGGAGCTTTCTCCTTCAGCCTTGATGGCAAGAGACAACCTCAAAGTTGCGAGGATCGGCTGACACCGCCTGACGCCCGCACCTACCCTTTCACTTCTCGTTATTTCTCTTCCTTCAAGATCTTCTTTCAGGGAAAATATATGAGACTCACAAGATTCTCCTCGGGAAGCTGTTGATAAGATTGTCACGAACCAGGGAGGGATTTCCCCTCTCTTCTCCAATTTCAACCCTTCATCCCTGGTATTGATCCTCGTGCCAAATACCGTACTCTGCTGGATATTGACAGCACTTACAGGGAAGGGGAGGGGGAGAATTGCGGTATTACTCCGGGCCGAGAGGCCGATGTTCGGTAGTCGCTCTGGTCTAAAGATAAAGTATTTTGTAGAGTAGCGCAAAACAAAAGGGAATGAATTAATCTGGACAGCAAGATAAAAAAAAAAAATAGAAAAGAATATGCAGCATACAAAGGCTATCGGGATGTCAATTAGGTTATTTCCTTTTCTCTGTCAGCCTCGGAATCCAACGAGAGGGTCCGAGTTGTCCTGCTAGCGAGAAATAAGTGTAACAAGAAGCGACAGTTCATTCGGATCCCACTCATCGGTAGGTTCGCAATATACAGGATGTTTCGAAAGTCACTTCCTATTTCAAAATGGTAATAACTTTTGTCATTTTTGCTCTAGAACAATGGTTGTGCCGAAAGAAACAGTTCGATGCGGTTTTATGATTTCATTGATTTGTTTGTTTACAGTAACCCTCCATGGCGCCAAAATTGAATCTTCGACACCGTACGCAAATAGCAGCATACCCGATCCAAAGGTGACGGCGAAAAGAGAATAGCTTAGATTCGATTTAGACCTTGGACAAGCCTTCTAATTGAAAAAGCAGAGAATGGGCTATTTTTATAATCCCGCTTTGTGTTCGAGACCTTTGTCATCCTTCCAGATCCTTAGCCTCGAGATCATTTTCCATGCATTTTTCTTGATTTCTCGAGCGTGGTCGACTCCAGATGACGAAATTAATCAGCGGACGCTCTTAAGCCTGTGTGTCATTTGGTCCTGAAGGATGAAACAGCTGTACATATTGCTTCTGAGGAGTACCATGTACCTTTCGCACTCATCCAGGCTCGCAGTGATGAGGCTCATGTTTCTTGTAAGATGTTGGGTCATGAGTGGATTTCTATTGGGTCGTGTGCTTATATAACTGAGGAAGTGATGGTGGAACGAATTTCAAACATATGCAACACATTTACAGATTATTTCAGTCGTTTTTAGATAATAAAAAATAATGGTACCATAGTACCTGTCTGCTGCTGCCATATTATACGGTCTCGATGACGATGACGAAGTTTGGGTAAGAATAATTTGAGGAAGAGGATAGCAGCAAATCGAGGAAATTAGCTGGGACGAGGTAGGAAAGGGATCATGCAGCCAAAATTATGCCTGCGTTAAACCTCTAGATTTTAAGGTTCGGCAATATTTGGAATTGACCGCCATAATACCCAGCTTCTACCCCATGTGACTTACTGGCGACAGTGGAAAGAAAATAGGCACGTGAATGACAAGATGACATACATACATCACCATTGTCATTATTTTGTAATCTCACTTTACATGCGTTCAAAGGAACTTGTGGGCCCCCTTTTGCGAGCTACTAGCTGTTCTTGCTCCCACTTCTGCGTCGAGGAAGCGTCACCTGAAGGGATCTAGTTTTGTTTCGTTGCGTCACGTCTGTTTGAAAAGAATCCATTTCACCAGGATGGTCACGTAGAGCCGCAATCCCGATTCACTCGGTTAGGCTTCCGGGTCCGCGGTAAGAAAATGGGTCATACGAGGAAATGGGTCATGGCTCGTAAGTCCACCTCGGGGTCTCGCGGTCGGGCCCCACAAATGTCGGTTCGCCTTTCCAGATCTGAGTCAAAAGGGTACTCACGTTCTTCGCTCGCGATTGCGTGAGAGGTAAATACTGTCATTAAGCAGCAGAGAGGATCTTATCTGACGGCGTAGGCCGCCTCTGCCTTAGAGGAGGAAGATTCCGGTGTGAAATAAGAGATCATTTTAGGAATCCTATTAAAAAAGTAATATTAGCCCGAGGAAAAGAACCCGATATGTGTAAGACGATATCCCAAAAAGATTCCATTCGTACAAGAGATTGATTCTGGTAAATATACGATGGAGACAATGTGCCACTCGTTCCGGATGGATTCGGA